GCACAGCACAATGCCAGGTAAACTAGAGATCTGAATACTATGACTACAGCAACCACTTATGGTATATCTCTCAGAAGTAAACAACCTAGTTTTACTGTCACACAGGTGGAGTCTATTACGAAGCCTAAAATGTTATGCATTGTGTGGGTTTGAACACCGATATGTTAGGGTGTACCACAAAGCCTAAACTGTCAGTTAAATCATCGTACAGTTTGTTTCACATTATCTAAACAGTCATCAGGAGTGTCACCTTGAAGAAAACTATCCTCAATGTAAGGCACTGACACGTGACCCTCAGATCTGAGTTTGGCAAAGACTGGTTTCAGAAATTTAGTGAATTTTATAGGGCAATAGGCAAGGCCATTTGAAAAAAACTGTAAATTGATAGAGTTGACTCCTCAATACAAATCTAAACAATTTCCTCTGTGCTTTTGCTATATGACAAGAGTAATAACCATCATATAGATGAACTGATCTCATCCAACATTTTGTTTTGACTAGCTTCGAAACAGAGTGGAGAGATTCTATTTTAAAATGCATGTATTCAGTACACTGGTTAAGTGTCTTCAAACTGAGAAGAGGCGGTGGAGTACCCCAGTGGTTAAAACATTCGCTCGTCACGCCGAAGACCCAGATTCGATTCCCCACATGGGGCATTTCTGGTGTACCACGCGGTGATGTTGCTGGAATATTGCAAAAAGCAGCGTAAAACCATACTTACTCACTCACTCAACTTGAGAAACCTTCTAAAAGAATTATTTTTCTTTTGTCTCATATTAGAGAAATGAATCTTCTGGTTCTGATCGGGACACGACAATTTCACCAACAATTTTCTTTAATAATGTGCTTATTGCAACATCAGTTACCGTAGCCTCGTGCTCATTAACGTTTATAGAAAACTGAGATTTATTTTGATTCGACACAGTCCAAACTTGAACAATATTTAATATTTCAGGGTCACTTGTCCGTTTTTTCCATTCATGTAGATGATGAACAATTTGACCACCAACAATTTCATTATAGTTCAGGTCAAGATATTTCTTAAGTTCTGTGAAATCTGAAGAGACACTTACTTCAGAGAGTATTGGTCTAGCTATAGAAGCCAGACCCCAACATGGTGAAAATGTGGTGCAGTTCAGGCGACCGAATGGGATGTGATTTTTCACAATCAGGTATGTGTTAGCTTTGTTTTAAAGCCGGTTGTCAGTATCTACCGTGCAGGGGTTCTTTCAAGGTGCAACTTGTCATGTCAGCTGTGGTAATATTTTAACCGATATATGGATGGTTTAGTTTTATAACTCCGGTTTGAATTGACCGATTTTCATCAAATAAGTAGTTTGGGATTGCTCAGATTATTATTTAGAATTGTGGACAATACTAAACCCCTAATATATATATATATATATATATATATATATATATATATATATATATATACGCTTTCTGTCTTTTATTAAGTTCTCAGAAGTAGACATGGTCAGACTGAAATGCGTCATTATAATAATGCGAGAAGAGTACAGACGCATGTTTCGCATTAATAAAATGCTCGTATTAATTTCTTGATTTACAGAATGCTCATCGCAAAAATATTTTGGCGAGGTCAGTTATAATAGCAAGTGCATTTGATGAGAAAAATATGAGTTAAACTTTACCAATTAAAGGTAATTTTAACAAACTTATGTTTTTGTTATTCAACTATTTAATTTGAAGAGCATATATACGTTTAGTTGGCACTCTACACATAAAAAACCCCATTACAACAAAAGTTGGTACATTGTATTTAGATCAGTAAAAGAGTACATGATGTCTGTTCAACCGCAACAGCTCCGTGCTTTACATAGTATCAACGATACCAAATATGTCGAAGATACTGTTGGTCATTAAAATCGCACAGCATAACAGAAAGCTCTTCAATGTATAATTCTATTATTTCAGATATCTTTCTTTGCTCATCAAAGATTGATGAGTCAGTCATGTCTTTATAATGCAAGCAACATTTCCCCTCAGGTATAGTAACTCCTAATTAGGAGATGGCATCACCTAATTAGGACATAGCTAAGTCCTAATTAGGAGATAGTAACTCCTAATTAGGATATGGTATCATCTAATTAGGAGATAGCTAAGTACTAATTAGGAGATAGTAAATTAGGTGTTACTATCTCCTAATTAGGAGATAAAAACAATTCAGACTGTGGCACTAGGACACTTCAGAGTATGTGATATTTTATCGAGCTGGGACCTCAGTTGTTAGTAGCCTTTTGGCGTCAAAGTAGGATATATGTTTTCGCATTTTAGTTTCATTATTTGTGATATTTTTTGCCACACAGGGCAGCATTTAGACAAAGCACCATGAGGACCATGACAATTTGCACACTTAAATTCTTTGTCACAGTCTGTGGTTTCGTGGCTATCAGCACAACGAGAACAGATCACAGATCCACGACAAGAATTTGAACCATGCCCGAATTTCTGGCATTTGTAGCATCGGAGTGGACTTGGCACGAATGTTTCCACTCCGATATTTGAATACCCTGCTTTGATTGACACCGGAAGCGATGTTTGGGCAAAATCAAAAGATAAGTGTTTGTTTTTGTGATGACGCCCTTTTCTTAATGGTGCAACGTTTCACAGCTGTATTCTCGGCTGTTGTAACTCTGTTGCAATATCCCCCTCTGACGTGTCGGACAGACAACGAGTTCTGTCGCGGATAATGCCTCGACAAGTGTTTAATGTTCGCAGTAACGTCAATATTTGCAAATGTTCGGATTGACAAAAGATTGAGCGATTGTTGTCTCCGTGCACACTCCACTTTAAGCGAGCCACTACGGAGACGGGTAACGTTTTTACCTCCCCACAAATCCAAGATGCAGCTTTGGAAACAGCAAAAGGATTGAGTTTTATGGGGAGATAATCCACAGCCTCTATCACCAGGAAACGAGCTCAGGAATCATCCTTTGAAGACATATTTCTGATTGAGTGATCAACATTTTCAATTCGTCGTTTCTTTTCATTTCGATTTGAACCAGGTAGTTGTAGTGTCATGATGAAAGGAAAACGTTTGAGCATCCCTGCTCCCCACCCACCACGGAGTGTCAACAAGGCCAGTGTCATCTCTCCGAGATGCTGACACCAGGGATACAGGGGTGTTATACTCCAGAGATTATGGCACAGATAGCAATATTAGTATACCAAATTTAATGTCTAGCTGGTTCTGCCCATACTGAATTTGGAGATGAACATCACAAGATTGGTCCAGACAGAGCCACCGCCTTTTGACATCGGACGCTAGGCATGTTTGGATTATATACTACAAACAAAAAATATGGGAACACCCTAAAATTTGATAGTCATATATAAACTGAAACGAGGTGAGGTCATTTATAAGGTAAATGTAACTTTTTGTGTGCCTAATAGACACTTTAAACGACATGTTGGAACATGCAGTGAAGCACATGATTCAATATTCTTTGAGTTTGAGTGAAATGAAAATTGTTAAAAACAGCGAAAAACAAGGGTGCTGAAACACACCAGCACCATGTTTGATTCAAACGCCCAAACACAACAGCCTAGTGCATGTGGAAGACAGAATTCGCATGCAGTTTGTGTTTTTAACAATGTTTCATTTCACTCAAACTTAACGGGTATTGAATAAGTTGCTTCACTGCATGTTCCAACATGTCGTTTAAAGTGCCTATTAAGCACACAAAAAGTTGCATTTACCTTAGAGTATAAATGACCTCACCACGTTTCAGTTTATATATGACAAATTTTAGGGTGTTCCCATATTTTTTGTTTGTAGTATATAATTTTCATTTATAACATTCATTCTAATCATTCAGAATAATTTTAATAGTACATAATAATTTCAAATGCATGTTTTCCGTGCACAGGGCATGGCATGGCCAGTCGATTGATAGAATTGGGCCAATTCTACCAGCCGTCTAGGTGAAGTCAAAAAGTGGTTTGTTGGGCAAATGGGACACGGTTCAAGGCTCCTTTGCCCTCAACCACCAGAATCCCGTCCTCTACCGACACAGGGACGCAACCCACGGCAAACAGGTAGCCCAGTTTGGTCGCCTCTTACGACCAGCAATGGGGTGCAGTGGACACATTCTGCCCCGGATCCACACGGGGGTAAGAGCTATTAGCGTGACCCAGCACTCACCACGAGGCGGTTGCTCTTCACGAGTGCCTAATAGACTTGGACCTATTTGCGAGAGACGTGAAGGCTTCGTTCATATTGTTCCTGAAATCAGATAGTCTGTCTAACTTTAATGTAATGTCAGAATATTTACAAAATTATCAGTCGTTGACTGTTTGGTTTGGGAGCTCTCCTTCTGATATTCCTCTCGTGGACGCCGTCCCTATGTTTTCATTGAATACATCTTCACTGAACATAGCAACATCTGAGTTGTCTGCCCCTTGAGAAGCGTCAGTTCATGCATAATGCATTCAGAATGTAATGTGCGCCATAAGTATCAAAGGATGCCTGGAGTGATCATTCAGCGAGACGTGTGGTCTTAAATAAATCCCAAATAGCGTTACTGATAAATCAATGATATTTAAGAATATAGATTTATATTGCAGCGTCTGATACCTACACTTTGGAAACTTAGAGTGTCCATTTTAGACATATAGAAACATAACCTTAGTGCCAATACATGAGAGTGAATTCAAAGTAAATTTGGATTAATCTTCATAATGGCATGTAAAGATTTGAACACTGGCATTTCAACCTGATTTATAAACCTAGTCTTGACACAAGCGATACACCAGATGTCCTTGGGAATTCCAGATTACGAAAGATCATCAATAACTATGCTTGTTATGGCAAGTAGCGAGGCTCGATGGATTGGTCACTGGGTTGATTGTGTGTCACCGTTTGAACCGCTACTCCCCTATAAGATATGATCCTTTCAGTTCCTTTGGACTGTACTGTATGGATCAGATGTCATTCTTGATTAAATTCTCTATCCCATAATTCCTGGCATTGATTATACAGATGTCATGTGGTTATATTGCCCTAAAAAGATAACCCATGTCTGAAAAGCTGACGTAGCAGTTCGTCCTTCGCACTATGAGACAGCTGTTGTTACTTCTCTTGGACATATCAAGTACGTATAATCATTAAATCACTAACAGTATTGTTATTTAAAATTTCTTTACCTGGATTTGTTGAATCATGGATGCCCTTTTGACATGCATTTCTGCGTCGGGGAGTTAAATCGGCAGCACCAGTAAAACGACAACATTTGAAGGTAAAGCACACAACAGATGTATATTAGATAAGATTCCAGTTCACACCTCAAAGCAGTGTGAACTATAAAGTCTACAGGTACATTTCGAATGATATACTATTCATCGTAAAATCCACTGTGCCTTTAGCAGATATTTCCTATGAGCAGAGAAATTGTAATATTTGTGTACTTCATGCTCATTGAAAAACGACTTTTGTCCGTCAAGGTACGTTCGCCGTGCTGAAATTTGCGTCATACTATGCTGACCACATGGTTCTTCAAAGAGGGCCCCAGAGGGCGATAGTCTGGGGCCATGCTGCAACAATTGGAGACGAGGTTACAGTCACTATCAGTGGTCAAGAAGAGGTCAAGGTCAAGGTTGTGAAGGACCCTAATGGAAATGAAGGATTATGGAAGGCTAAACTGCCAGCTGTCACTGACCCTGGTCCCTTCACCTTGACAGCGTCCTCGTCAGAAGGGGACTTAACTCTAACTGACGTCATGTTTGGTGACGTATGGGTGTGCTCTGGACAAAGTAACATGGTGTTTACAATGAGTCAGGTAGGTGAGTTGTCATTCATACACATGTGTCATAACAGCAATGGAGGGAAGATTCAAAGAAAAGTCGAATACCTATGTAAAAATATCCTTCTCTCAGACTTAAGCTCTTTTTATGAAAACCAATACATCGCTTTCAAATGAAAGCGTCTAGTACACAAACTCATTTCAAATGTTGCCATTTCTGACTGTTTATGTGATTGATTTCTTAAAATTCCAGGCTTGAATAATCACCAAAGTCTAAACTATGAAAGCAGTCTCACCAGGGATATGAACTTTTAAATTCTTATGCCAAACCACTGACGTAACTATTCTGCCACCCTGTGTCGTATATCCAATTGTCGTGCAAACTCCAGGTCCTGCTGACATTGCTAATGATAAGATTGAACATTGTGTCTTCAAGCTACTGGGAAAACAGATATCAGTCTGAAGTTGGGAAAATACTAAGAAATGAAGATAATATATTGATGAAGAAAATATATATTGAAGAAATATCAATAAATAATTCTACTAACCACAATAGCCGTACTTTCCATCTGGTTTCAGATCATTAACTCATCTGCGGAAATCGCGGAAGCACTGAAGTTCAAGACTATCAGAATTTTCAAGACATCACAGGTAGAATCAACCACGCCTTTGGAAGACGTACAGAGCATTGCCACTCAGTGGACTGAGCCAACTGATGGTAGAGTATCGCCAAGTTTACATAGTTCCCAATACAACAGTGATATTTATATGGGTCAGTCGTGTTTATGATATATATTTATGGAAGAAAAGTATAATAGTTTATCTAACTCTGAAATAGCAGTAGAAACTGTTGCATGTTCAAATGTGTTTCACTCCCAAAAGGCTAGTGTTCTTTATAGTTTGATTTAACCAGTTAAAATGTACTTTAAGTCTTCCGTAATCTTTCACAGCCAGACAAGGTTTTTCATTCTATGAGATACATATAACTTTGGTGTACATATGTTGAACAGCCACCGTGTCGTCCTTCTCTGGTCTGTGTATGCTGTTTGGGGAGTACCTGTATCCTAACAGGAACTACCCCCTTGGGCTGATAGACTCAGCATGGGGTGGGACGCCCATTGAAGCCTGGTCCTCTCCCGACGCCATTGCCAAATGTCCTACACACAACAAAAGGCATGTGGACACTGTTGTCACACACTTTTGACAAGCATCCATTCCTGGCTTTGCATGAAACTGGTTTGAGCATATATTCACAAGAAAAGATATATTTCTATCTGATGAACGAGAATAGCATTTGCTTGATATTGATAAAATTGTGAATGATCTAACCTCTGATGTTTTCCATTTAGAGCCCCTGGTGATAAATCAGTATTGTGGAATGCTATGATCAACCCGTTTCTCGACATGACCATATTTGGTGCATTATGGTATCAAGGTAATCTAGTATTTTGTTTCGTAAAACTACACACTGGAGTATGCCAGAGTTGTGTTTACTTTGTACCGAATGTTAAAATATACGGGTTTCTTCTCGAAAACTGTATTATATATACAATTGGAAATTAATACAGTAAGAAATGTTATTCATGTTGTTGTGAAGTACACAACATTTGCCCATCTCATGACCTTGATATTTCATGTATGATATATTTCTCACAGGGGAGTCAAATGCTGGGAATCCAGATCTTTATGAATGTCAGTTTCCGGCCATGATAAATGATTGGAGAGAAAAATTTCATGCCAGCTCAGAACAGGAGACAATCAGCCAGTTTCCGTTCGGATTTGTCCAGGTAGTTCCGGATATTCTTCCACAACTGTGAATTGAACCATTAAAAGTCAAAACTCTTCGACATATATACAACCTACGAAATTAGACTGTAGGTGTTAGTGAAGTAGAACGAAGTCTGGTTCCTGTTGGTGTAACGACCATAAAGGCTCATCACAAGCATTCTTGTATGTGTACAAGTGACGTTATTAAGATATCAGTGTCACTTTTTCATCAAACATCATTTTAAAAACCTTCAAATCAATTTGAGATTATGACAGACAACTACATGGTGGAAACTTGACGTTAGGGATTGTCCTGTCACAATACTGTCGAATCAGCATTACGACATCTGTTACTTGTTATTGGTTGCGCATCAAGGTTTGCTCGTTTGACTACATGAGGTTTTAAAAAGTTGATTATCTGTTGATAACACATTTCTGTGATCAGCTCGCTCCAAATGCCAAATCGACGGATGTGGGAACGTTCCCTGCGCTCAGGTGGTCTCAAACGGCAGATGTTGGTTTTGTGCCCAACGACAAGATGCCCAAAACATTCATGGCTGTAGCCATTGATCTCCCAGATTATGACTCTCCTTTTGGGACGTAAGTAATTAAGTAATCATAATGAGGACATATTTTAGATGTGTAACTTTGTGTGCTCGCTGAATTAACTCTGAATATAAGTCTAGGTATCTGCCGTGAAGGACAAACGTAGTCCCTATATTTAATCATAGTGAAAATACAACTTCTTGCAAAGAAAGGTAAGAATCATCATTTCAGATCTAAATATATAGAAGAGTTCGACTTGCATTTATAGCTACAAAAGACTCTATGTCTATTTGAAGAAGTCATGTTTAAGACACAATCTCGATCTGTACAGGTGTTACCTATTTCCAGAATCCATCCACGGTATAAGCAGGATATCGCCTCCCGCCTGGTGCTTGGGGCAAGGTCAGTGGCCTATGGAGAGGAAGGGGTAAAGTTTCAGGGTCCTCTCCCTCAAACATTCAGCCTTAACAACGTCAACAACATCCTTAACGTGAACTACGGAGACGACAATCCTATAAAGGTTCTCAACAATAACGGCTTTGAGGTACATTTGTTTAGTTTTAATCCTTTTTCTTAAATGATGAAATAGAAGATAGGACAATGAGTTCCTTCTGTGAACATAGCATTGTCATCCTTTGAACAAGTACGTCTTTGAGTATCTCCCATTTTTGCTGACAATCTGTTTAATTTTAAGGGACAAAAGTACGATTTGGGATATTGTATCTTTTAAAGATAAAAAGAAATTATCCAAATTGTTCACATGCTGTGGATATGGTCTAAGTCCCAGAGAGAAAATGTGGGACACCCAAGTAAATATTCACAACTTGCATGCAATAAAACCAGCTGTCGGTTGCACATATTTGGGCTGTCATGGCGGATTGCAAAAGGTGTTTATGCGGCCATGTCGCATTAGCCTTTCAGATGCTGGTGATCTATAGCTCGTTTATATCGGAGTGCTGTACATGTGAAGGACATTTTAGAGATAGATGCTAGTTTTTTTTATTCTGTTTCTTTGATATTCTTTGATATTCTGTTTCCTTTTTTATTTTCTTCACAGTTTTATACATGTAGGAGCTGCGATTAGGATATCCTTGTGCGTTAGTGTGTTAGGAAAACAGTTGAAATGATGAAAATGATGTGTAAATATATTGTTTATATGAAACGAAGGCTTAAGCGACGTTGTAGCTATATTACTTTGAGAAAGTAGAAAGTGGAACATATTCAAAGATAAGTGTCAATCTATAATGGCATTTTCCATGTACAAGGCACATGCTCGAAGCGCTACATCATCTGATTATTATCCCGGATAACCCAAGCTGCCTGTTAGGACACATGGCTTATCCCACCGGGTACCCATTTTCTGCTGGGTGAACAAATGCCATTTTGAACAAACTCACTTGCTTTAGGTGAGACCACATGTATCACATGTGCTTCATTGTCATGCAGGACTGAAGTCCAGAAACTGTCAGGAGTCAAGCTGCCAAACACATCACCTCTCCAAGAACTTTCCATGCCCAACGTTGCTTAACTTCAACTGATGTGTGACCTGCACATGACCACACCCCACCACAAGTTTTATTTTGTTTCGGGTTTTTTTAAAAAAATTTTTTATTGCTTGTTTGTTTCTTTGATTTTTTAGGAGGACGTAATATTCCATGCATTTGTTTTGCAGGTGTGCTGTTCCAGCACGAGTTCAACTGAATGCGTAGACTCAGATGAGTGGGTGGCTGCACCAATCACAGACCAGGACACAAACTCTGTATCGGTGTCAGTGGCTGGCTGTGAGAGCAAGTCCACGGTTGGTCTCCGATATGAATGGCGCACAAGTCCCTGTGATCTCAGAGACTGTGCCATATATGGAAGTGATACAGATTTGCCAGCTCCGCCATACATAACAACAAGAGGGTTTTAGACAAAAATAAGCACAGCAACTATTTGTATCGACCATCATGAATACAAGTGCTTACATTACTCGATTTTGTTATATTTCTTTCTTTGCTTCAGATATCTTCCCTTTGGTGACACACATACTGTACTTTACACGCACTATTCGAAATAACACCATTTGAATTTAGTTAGGAAAACGGAAAGGAAGTATACTGGACAAAAATAGTTCGGGATATATGTAAATTTTGAAATTATGAATAATGATCTATTTATTCACTGACACACTGACAATATATCACTCATAAAAATACCAATATCCCTAACTTATTTTGTCCAGTATATATGCTGGAAACTTCGATTTAACCAACGCATTACCAGACTGAAACACTGCACGATTATGGTGAAAAACACAAATAAATTGACTATATCAAACGTATCACATCAAACAACCAAATACATACTCGAAGTTCTATGTTCACGAGGCATGTTGATACCTCGTGGGTTTCAGGTATTACTTGGAAATACAAGCGGCCCGGAGATACAAGCCTTGATGTTTATCCACGGAGTGAGTGAGTGAGTGAGTTTAGTTTTACGCCGCACTCGGCAATATTCCAGCTATATGGCGGCGGTCTGTAAATAATCGAATCTGGACCAGACAATCCAGTGATAAACAGCATTAGCATCGATCTGCGCAATTGGGAACCGATGACATGTGTCAACCAAGTCAGCGAGCCTGACCACCCGATCCCGTTAGTCGCCTCTTACGACAAACATGGGTTTTCCTGAAGGTTACTTCACGGGTCCAGATTACGATAGATCCTCAGTAACTATTGTGTTTGTTGTGGCAAGTAGCCAGTCTCGAGGTTGATTGTGTGTCACCGTTTGAACCGCTACACCCCACAAGATATGATCCTTTCAATTCCTTTGCGCAATACCGAATGGATCAGATGATATTTCCTGATGAATTTCTCTATCCCAAAATACTTGGAATTGATTATATAAATGTTTAAGTTGCTATCGCAACTCTCACCAGCCCGGTTTACAAGTGGGAGACGACAACCACACAGTTGTATACATGTGCATGCATGCACGTTTCTATTTAACTACAATTAGCTTTTATGCAACGTTAAACCTACTTCACCTGATCACTTCACCTGTTAGTTGCCATGAATGAACTTTGTCTGTGATGGAATCATAACCATATCCAGTACGATCCTACAGCACTGTTTCGTCTAAAATGTTGTACATTTGATACACATTTAATGTGCAGCTGAATATCAAATATATCAAATACAGATATTCGCCTGATTCTTAAGTGTTGTGTGACCAAAGAGTCCTGTCATGAAATTCAGTGAATTCAGACGGTTATATTGCCCTACAAAGATAACCCATATCTGAAAAGCTGACACACCATTCGTCCTTCGCACCATGAAACAGCTGCTGTTACTTCTTTTGAACATATCGAGTAAGTATAATTAATATATTGTTAACGTTATTTCTATTTGAAAAACTCTTTTCCAGGATTTGTTGGATGACAAAGGAAGTTTTAAGAGGCATTCTAAAGGGTTTTATATCGGCAGCGCTAATAAAATGAACCCATATGGTAGTGAAACACATAACGAACATAAATCAGTTATAATGAGATTCGTACCTATCCAGCGGTATAAAGCGTGCAGGTACAGTTGGCATGTTCCAAGCTGAGGGGCCTCTAAAGATCATCCCATGGTCATTATCATCAGAGGTTTTTAACACCCTTTTAATGACACCTGGTGTTATCACTACTTGATGGTGTTTCATATAACAGGAACGGTAAAATCTACCGTAAAATATCCTCAGCTGAGGTTGTTTATCATCAGAGTTTGGTTCGTGTGCTCCATGCTCACTTAAAAACGTCTCTTGTCCGTCAAGGTACGTTCGCCGTGCTGAAATTTGCGTCATACTATGCTGACCACATGGTTCTTCAAAGAGGGCCCCAGAGGGCGATAGTCTGGGGTCATGCTGCAACAATTGGAGACGAGGTTACAGTCAAGGTCAGTGGCAAAGGAGAGGTCAAGGTCAAGGTTGTGAAGGACCCTAATGGAAATGAGGGATTATGGAAGGCTAAACTGCCAGCTGTCACTGACCCTGGTCCCTTCACCTTGACAGCGTCCTCGTCAGAAGGGGACTTAACTCTAACAGACGTCATGTTTGGTGACGTATGGGTGTGCTCTGGACAAAGTAACATGGTGTTTACAATGAGTCAGGTGGGTGAGTCGTCATTCGTATACAGGTGTAGAGGGGAGATTCAAAGAAAAGTCGATTACTTATGTCAAAATATCGGTCTCCCAGTCATAAGCTCTTTTATGACAACCAATACATCACTTTCAAATGAAGGTGTTCACTACACAAACTCATTTCAAATGTTGAGGAGATTATTTTCAAAGAAAATCACTAATGTGAAAATATCGGTCTCCCAGAAATTAGTTATTTTGTGATAACGAAAACACCGTTTAAAACGAAGACGTCCAGTACAAAAACGTATTTCAAATGTAGCCACTTTTCATGTAATTAATTCCAGGCGTGAATAATACCTAAAGTTTAGACTGTGCAAGTAGTCGCATCTGGGATATAAACTTTCATAATTCTTATTGTCAAACCAGGTGTCCTGGATTCAATTGACATGCAAACTCCAAGTCCTGTTAACACTGCATACTTGGATAATTGTCCCTGCTAACAATAAGATGGAGTGTCTCCGAGCTATAAGGGAAAATATTAGCAGTCTGAAGTTGGGAAAATGCTCAGAAATGTCAGAAAATATCGTCAATTGACGAAATACTAGTTAGTGTCGGAATAAACACACATAAATGCACGAAAACTAAGTCAAAAACACAAGCCATTCTCACGTTCCTATAGAGATGTGTCTCGCCTCATGGTGAACTTACAAGCCATTGACTCAAAGTCTCAGAAAAAGTCAGAAATCAGACATAGCAAGCTGGGAACCTTTGTTTTAAGACTTACGTCATCAAACCAAAGCTTCTTCCTTTGAATAATGATTTCTCTCTCTTTTAGTGGCGAAAAAGGAATTTACTATTTATGCTCGCATGTCTTTTGATTGAATGTCATCGTTACCTCTTTTAGCACTATTGGAACATCACACCAAACAGCACACCAAGTAGATACATACATAAGTTCCTGTGGTGAAAAGGCCACTTCCCGAAGGGTTATATTCCTTATATGTTTATTCCTTGACACTCTTTCATCATTATGGGTATTACATGTATTTATGAAGAATATTTATTCACAAAATTGTTTTAGTAAATGCAACATCCATCTGGTTTCAGATCATTAACTCATCTGCGGAAATCGCAGAAGCACTGAAGTTCAAGACTATCAGAATTTTCAAGACATCAACAGTGGAATCAACCACGCCTTTGGAAGACGTACAGAGCATTGCCACTCAGTGGACTGAGCCAACTGATGGTAGAGTATCGCCAAGTTTATGTAGTTTCCAAGACAACAGTGATATTAAGGGGGTTTGGTTTGAGCCACACATGTATATGATATATATTTACGGAAGATGAGTGTAATAATTTATCTAACTCTGAAATAGCAGTATAAACTGTCATCTTGAAATGTGTTTCACTCCCACAAGGCTAGAGTAATTTTTAGTTTGATTTAACAAGTTAAAACGTACTTTCAGCTTTCAGTACTCTTTCCCAGCTGGACAAGGGTTTAATTTAGGGTACAAAAGAAAGATATCATGCTTTTCATTTTTCAAATATAACTTTGGTGTACATATGTTGAACAGCCACCGTGTCGTCCTTCTCTGGTCTGTGTATGCTGTTTGGGGAGTACCTGTATCCTAACAGGAACTACCCCCTTGGGCTGATAGACTCAGCATGGGGTGGGACGCCCATTGAAGCCTGGTCCTCTCCCGACGCCATTACCAAATGTCCTACACACAACAAAAGGCATGTGGACACTGTTTTCACACACACTTTTGACAAGCATCCATTCCTGGCTTTGCATGAAAGGGGTTTGAGCATATATTCACAAGAAAAAGATATATTTCTATCTGATGAACGGGAATAGCATTTGCTTCATATTGATAAAATTGTGAATGATCTAACCTCTGATGTTTTCCATTTAGAGCCCTAGGTGATAAATCAGTCCTTTGGATCAGTTTGGGCATCACTATACACAATTCTCTATATCCTCCAGGAGACATATTCCTACCTGATGAACGGTATTGACATTTGCTTGATATTTACCAATTTGTTGATGATCTTTTCCATTTCTTTAGAGGCCCTCGTGATAAATCAGTATTGTGGAATGCTATGATCAACCCGTTTCTCGACATGACCATATTTGGTGCATTATGGTATCAAGGTAATCTAGTATTTTGTTTCTTGAAACCACAGACTGAAATATGCCGGAGTTAATTTTATTTTGTGCTGCTGAATATTTATTATCAAACCTTCTCTTATATACAGTAAGAAATGTTATTAAGCTTATGGTGAAGTACACAACATTTGACCATCTAATGATCTTGATATTTCATGCATGATATATTTCTCACAGGGGAGGGCAATGCTGGGAATCCAGATCTTTATGAATGTCAGTTTCCTGCCATGATAAATGATTGGAGAGAAAAATTCCATGCCAGTTCCGAACAGGAGACAGACAGCCAGTTTCCGTTTGGATTTGTCCAGGTAGTTCAGGATATTACAAAATAATTGTGAACAGAATGTTTGAAGGTCAAATTTCCAAACTATAGGTGTTAGTATAGTGGCACCTACACTGGTTCCTGTTGATGTAACGGCAATAAAGGCTGATCACAAACATTCGTACAGGTTAGTGTATATACAGGTTACATTCGGGGCGGTGGGGTAGCCTAATGGTTAAAGAGTCCTCTCGTCACACTGAACACCCGGGTTCGATTTCCCACATGCGTATGATGTGTCAAGTCCATTTCTGGTGTCCCCCGCCGTGATATTGTTGGAATATTGCTAAAGCGGCGCAAAACCATAAGCACTCACTCATTCAAGTGTGCTAAACAACGTACAAGAATATGTACCAAAACGTTGCACTCACAGAATAAAAGA